CTCAGATCAACGCCGATAATGGGCGAGCCGCCACGCGCGGCGGACGTGGGGAGAAAGTAAAGATGTATGTGCCCTCACTGGCGGACAGCTCGTCTAGTCCGTCCCCGCCGCCGTCGAGTCCAAGCTTTGACCCACCCACGTCAGTATGGTCGAGATCGAGCTTGGTGTTCCTACTGCGCAGCGTTGAACATAGAATGTCGATGTAGCTTCGCCCTCGCCCTCACCCTCGCCGTGTCGCCACCCAAGTGTAGAACCTACAGGTCGACCTGTCCGCCACAAATATGGCACATGAGTCAGTCCGCTGCGTGCCCCGAGATTGCGTGGCTCACATCCGCAGCGAGCTCCAGCAATGCGCCGCGAGTATCGATATAGGGTTTTCAGAAGCTTGAAGGTTCGTGAAGGAGACGGCCAGGGTGGGCGTGTGTAGGGACTAGCTGAAGACAGTGGCGGCGGTGTGCATGGGCCGCGCGCGTGCAGTGCGAAGTACGCGTCAACCACGGTCAGCACGATCAGCCTCGCCGAAGGGTACATCGTCGGCGCGGTTTCTGAGGTACGCGTCGGGGCAAGAGGATGCGTGGGAGGCCGGCGATTGTGGTACCAGTAGGTTGGTGAGCGGATGAGGAAGCGGACGGGTGGGTGAGGAGACGGGTGGGTGAGCGAACCAGTGGACGGTGCGTGAGGTGACGGGTGAGCGGACGGGTGACGAAGCGAAGGAAGGGGATGGGCGGTCAGGTATGTACCTTCGATTCCGGAGCCTCCGGGCTCGATTTCACCCCTCACCCTGTACTTCTTCACCTCCTCTCCTTTCGTGTCCTCTCCACATCCTCTCCGCTCAGTGTTCGCCACGTTTTGCACCATCTTCTCGCTCGGCTCTGGACTTGTAGGCTCGTTGTGCGACTCGTCGATTGCGCGGCTAGGTTGCGTGTTGGCAGAGCCGCGGATCGTGGGTTTGAGGTCACTAGAGAAGACAGAAGAGCCGCCCTGGGCGAAGATAATAGCACAGGAGTGAGAAGGGTAGGAGAGGAAGGGAATGAGTAGACTTCGACCACTTGCAAGGTTGTCTGTCGGTTTGTCGAGGCGGACGGCCGTGCGAGCGGAGTAAGTGGATGCGTGGTTGAGCAGACGGCCGTGCGGACGGGCGACGGAGCGAATGGGTGGGCGAGCGGATGGGTGGGCGAGTGGGCGAGTGGATCAGTGGATGGACGGATGGGCTAGGAAACGGGCAGGAAAGGGTTTGGGCGGACATACCGTTGAACTTCCTGGCTTATATTCTCATCCTCGCTGCAATTCACCCTCACAGTCACAAGCCCTTCCTCCTCATCCGCATCCGTCACGTTCAGGTTAGCGATCCTGCAGCTCAGCTCTCGACTTGCATGTGCGACGTGTGAGTGCGGTGGGTGCGAGTCAGGTGTCCCGTGCTCGCAACGGCCAGCCTATGGTGTTTAAGTCGAAGCGGACCTCCTGGCGTTCGAGAGCAGCGCAGTGGCTCTCGGAGTGTGCGCGCCCTCGACATGGGCTAGTGACGCTCGATTGCCGGCCGAGCGAATGGGTTGTCCGACGGCAGGCAGACTGCAGGTGAGCAGACGGGCCGATGGGCAGACGGGCGGGTCACGAAGTGAATGGATGGGCAAGTGGGTGAATGAATTGACGGACGGCGTGGCGGGCAAGAGAACAGGCTAGCAAGGAGTTGGGCGGGCAAGAATGGGCGTACTTTTGATCTTGGAGCTTCCACGTTCACCGCATCTCGCCCTCACTGACCCTTCCACCTCGACCCAGTTGATGAGCAATCAGAGTGTCGATTCGAGTCGCAAGAGGTGTATGCAGATCGGGTCTCGCGCGGGCAGTTCGTGCGTAGGAAGAACACGAGAGAGGAAGGCAGAGGATGCCTGTGACATGGGCGCTTCGCACTTGCAGCTCGGGCTTCAAGCTTCACATTGACAGAACAATGTCGGACCAGCCAGATGCAAGCGTGACATGCATGGACCCAGCGACATGGTAGACAGTGATCGATTGTGGTACAGAATGAGATGAATATAATCGTGATCTACAGCATTTCACGTAGTAAAGGTACGTTAAAGTGTCTTAAGTACGCTTAAGAGTGATATACTAGTAGATCCAACTGAAGACAGTCCGTGACTACCAAAGTGTTTGGTACGCGTATTTTGTAGCCCAATTATTGAGTAAGAATTTGGAGGCGCAATCGAGTACAGTATGTGTGTTCCACTCATCTGGTAAATGTTCTGGGGCATCCCCAACTGACCCAGGGAACTTGGGTATAAGCTGGCATGATTGGCGTATCATGCTCAGCGGTATGACCTCTCCCTGAGGATGGCCATTAGCTCGAAGGGGAGGTTTGTTGACGGCGTACATCATATGGGTCGGATCTGCAGTACTAGATAGTTTAGAATACCATTCTATGTAAGCAAGAGGGCCTTGCTCTGCCCAGTTTTGAGGTGCCAAGAGTGGAACATGCGTTCGAGGGTCTCTGATACGCTCGGGGAGCTTGAAGATCACCCTCACGCGTCCTATCCTAGTCCCTAGAAGTACTCGATATAAGTACATTTCACAAGACACCCAGTATGATAGGGCAGTACCTTGCAATCCAGTGGCCTCAGCGTCAGCATCCTGCAACACAACAACTGTGTCAAACCGGCCTGGTTGATCACCACTTGAAGGTCTCGCCTTGACCGCGTCGGTCTCCTCCTTGGCGTCCGTCAGAGGCTCAGGAGAATATTTGATGCCATGGAAGACATCGACGCGGTCGAACGGCATGTTTGACATCGCGGTTTTGAGCTCTGCCGAAGTCAAGGGTCGGCCCAACTTGAGGGTGTAGATGTACTGTCCTACTGCATCGGAGAAGCCAGGGGCGTGGTGGTGCTCCTCGACCCGCGCAATTGACTGCAGTGGGACGGTCGGGTGCTTCGGCAGCTTGATACGGGCCGGGTGTTTGAGCTGGCTAGATGACAGGGACTCGGAGGAGGGAACAGTGTCGTCCGTGTTGTTACCTTCGAGGCACAGGGAACGTCGGATGGAGGAACTCAGGATCACCATCTTTTCCTGCCTTGCGAGCCACTGTACCATTTGTGGACGCGCTGTGGGGCAGGGACGTAGCCCAGCCCCGTAAGGCAACATATAGTACAAGGAAAGGAACGGCACAAGGACCGGCCGTTCATTCAGAGAGCTACGAACGACTACAAGCCCAAGGGTACACTACGAAACAGTGTTCCCTCCGTCGAACATCTCCGGAACGGTGATGTCGATACCTTCCGGGCCTCCGACCGAACTCTCCTCCGGATCGATGTTCCCTCCGGCAGCACCCCCGAAAGCACCTTCCGGTTCGGTGATCAGGCGGACGGAACGGCCCAAGTCGTAGATCTCGCGGACTACAAACCCGACATCGTTACGGATACGACCGGCAGAGGACCGCTGCTCGCTCATCAACGTGCCCATTCGAGCATAAAGGGAGTCTTGGTTATCGGAAGCAAGCCGGAGGGAAGATAGGCGGAGTGGAGGGTCTATGAACTGAGGGGGAGATGGCGGGGGAGGCTGTCCGCTGGACGGGTCGGCATGGACCCTGTGAGGGGACCACGCGATGGCAGGATACAAGGCGGTCCCGGTACCGATATCGGAGGGAATGCCCTCAAACACGGCGTCAACGTAGGCGAGCAGAGAGGCCACGGAGGGAACGCTGCGGGGGGACGGGAGCGACGCGTCACCGTGGGCCGTAGCCAGGGAGAACGAGTCGAAGAGCATGCGCTAGGTCGAGAGTCAAGCGGCGGAAGGGACAAGCGGGGGCATGCGTACCAGAAGCCAGCGGACGCCGTGACCCCATACGAGCCAGGTCCCGGGCGAGGACATATCGAGGCGTGGCTCGGCGGCCCGTTCATGTCGAAGCACCTCCAGCAGGAGGAAGTACCGGCGGATGTGGACGGTCGCGAGCGGGTTGAGGGGCACGGAGGATGACATGGCACGGAGGAGGGGGAGGATGGGAACCGGTGGGACGAAGTGAGACGGGAGGAGGGCCCGAGAGGAACCGGAGGGAACGGGAGGGTACGGAGAGGGGTGCCAGCGAGGCGGGGGCGTGGGATAGCGAGCCGGAGGGGGCATAAGGGAGGGAGCCGGGGACCGGGCGGGAGATCCTACCTACCTACCACCTAGGAGTAGAGAGCGAGCTCAACTGCGATTCCCTGCGTTTCTGACTGCGTCCTGCGTTTACTGCGTTGCGAATAGATCACCGCGTTCACCTTCAACGAGCACCGCGTTTCCTTCCGGCTCTCTGCGTTTCATCCGGCTTCAACGAGTTTCTACGCGTTCAGCCCGAGTCCCTGTGTTGTGGGGCGATTCCACCACCCTCCTCCGACCGCGCTACAGTGCCGCTACGAGTATCTGAGCTCGTACGTCCCCTCCGGGACCGAATCGTCACATCCTCTTCCCATCCGCTTGCCAACAGCCCCCACCCGTCGTTTCTACCGACACCATCGATTCCTTCCGGTCTCTTTCCACCCGGGAGACTCGCAACCTACACAACTGGAGCCCACCGCGAGGGGGTATAGCTTGTTGGTAAAACTCATCGACACCCTCTGGTGACTCGTCACGCTGCCTCCCAGGCAACCGCGTAACAACGACCAGCCGTCGATCCCTACAAGGCAGCAGCCGCCGCGCGGACCAAAGCGAAACCTCTTACAGGAGGTCGCCGTTGCACAGTACTCCCGGACACACCGTTCAACGTCACCCTGCCCGCGCCAGCGTTAGAAGCCATACCCCCGCACCGTTCCGAAGACAGCGACGGAGAGTATTCATTCTTCGAGGCCGTAGAAGCACCCCGTTCCCCTGCCACGTCATCATCGAGCGACTCGATCCCGCTAGCCGTCACCACCCGGAGGAGAGCCCTATCGCCTCCCTCCGACAGCAAGTCAACGGCGCCCGTCGTTAAGCTCGAGCAGACCCCCATTCCGATACCCGAATCTCGTGCCCCGTCATCATCTACCCTCTCCTCATCA